GCTGGGTTGTAGGGTAGTTCTATTTTAATTTTTTTGAGAAACCTTCATACAGTTTTCCAGAGTGGCTGCACCAGCTTGCATTCCCACCAGCAGTGCAAAAGAGATCCTCTTTCTCCGCATCCTCACCAACATCTGTTGTTGCCTGAGTTATTGAATGTCAGCCATTTTGTAGGTGTGAGGTGGTATCTCATTGTGGTTTTGATTTGTATTTCCCTGATGATGAGTGATGTTGAACATTTTTTTCATGTGTCGGTTGGCCATCTGGATGTCTTCTTTGGAGAAGTGTCTATTCATGTCTTTTGCCCATTTCTTCACTGGATTATTTGTTTCTTGGGTGTTGAGTTTGATAAGTTCTTTATAGATTTTGGATACTAACCCTTTATCTGATATGTCATTTGCTAATATCTTCTCCAATTCTGTCAGTTGACTTTTAGTTTTGTTGATTGTTTCCTTCGCTGTGCAGAAGCTTTTTATTTTGATGAGGTTCCAATAGTTCATGTTTGCTTTTGTTTCCCTTGCCTCTGGAGACAAGTTGAGTAAGAAGTTGCTGTGGCCAAGGTCAAAGAGGTTTTTGCCTGCTTTCTCCTTGAGGATTTTGATGGCTTCCTGTCTTACATTTAGGTCTTTCATCCATTTTGAGCTTATTTTTGTGTATGGTGTAAGAAAGTGGTCCAGGTTCATTTTTCTGCATGTCACTGTCCAGTTTTCCCAGCACCACTTTCTGAGGAGACTGTCTTGATTCCATTGGATATTCTTTCCTGCTTTGTCAAAGATTAGTTGACCATACGTTTGTGCATCCATTTCTGGGTTCTCTATTCTGTTCCATTGATCTGAGTGTTTTTGTGCCAGTACCATACTGTCTTGATGATTTCAGCTTTGTGATACAGCTTTGACATCCAGGATTGTGATGCCTCCAGCTTTGGTTTTCTTTTTCAAGATTGCTTTGGCTACTTGGGGTCTTTTCTGGTTCCATACAAATTTTAGTATTGTTTGTTCTAGCTCTGTGAAGAATACTGGTGCTATTTTGATAGGGATTGCATTGAATATGTAGGTTGCTTTGGGTAGTATTGACATTTTAACAATATTTATTCTTCCTATCCAAGAGCATGGAATATTTTTCCAGTTTTTTTGTGTCTTCTTCAATTTCTTTCATAAGCTTTCTGTAGTTTTCAGTGTATAGATTTTTCACCTCCTTGGTTATGTTTATTCCTAGGTATTTTCTGGTTTTTGGTGCTCATGAACATTCTTATACAGGACTTTTTGTCTCTTCTTGTCTTTTGGATAAATACTTTGAATTCTGTGTCTTAGAGTTGATGTAATTTTAACTTTTCAAGAAAGTGCCAGTTTTCTAAAGTGTTTATACCATTTTACACCTCTGCTCAGCAATGTCTGAGAGTTCCAGTTGCTCCACATCTTCACTAACATTTGGTGTTGTCAGCCTTATTTTAGCTAGTCTTTGTGGTCTCTTGCTAGTGCTTTTGAATGAGCTACCCTTCTCACTCATTCCCGAGTGACTAGAAAGATAAGCGGTTTTTTAGATGCATAGGATGGGGCTTTGGGACACACTTTTGTAGTACTCGGGACATGGTGGTAGGGATTGGGTAGGTCTCTTGAGTTCTGGCCCTGCCACTTTTCCCCCTTTGGACACTGGGTTTGCTTCTTGGTGAATGAAATCCACCTCCCCCTCTAATCTTTCAACCTCATGATTCATGCAGAGGCTTCCAGAATCTTGGAACCTTGCTTCCCCTTGGACCATTTTAAGCACTAGTAGAGAAGAGAAGTTCTTCCTTTGCTTGAAAGTGTGCATTTCATATTTGTACTGAGCCCCTCTGTTGTGTGTTCAAAGGGAGAGAATTTCAAGGACCCAAAACAGAGAGAGAACCACAGGAATCTGACCCAGAAATGACCTTGTTACCTGGTGTGCCTCTTGCTCACGTGTGAGATGAGAGCAAGTAGCACTAATTACTTCTTGGAGCTGACCTTCCATTTTCTTGCCAGTTCCAAGGGCTACGATGTGGGGAGAGGAAGTTGCCTTGATGTTCAAATATCAGTAAGTCTTGAGTGTGGTAAGATTGGGCCACACTTTTCACCATGGCAGTTTCATGTTCTGTAGTCTTCAGAGAATTCGGATTCATTCCCTCACTCAGAAAGTCAGCAGATTTTAACTGGAGCATAAAAATGAAGGTTCATATTGTGATGAGCCCCAGGCATTGTACGGAAGTGTTCAATCACTATCTTGTACACCTGAAACTAGTATTACATTGTATGTCAGCTGGAATTTAAATAAAAACTTAAAAGTGAGGGCTCAGTTAGAACTTTATTGCCTAAGCTGCATATTGTTGCCACAAACTATGTTTACGACTGTTGAACTACTTAATCTGTGCTTAAATTGTGCAGTTCACAATCGCTGGTGCAGGAGTGGTCTTTTGAGCATCTTTACCAATTTTTTAGGTCCCTGAATTTCATTCTACTGAGGTTGGGCCAGCCAGCCACACACTGCCTCATTTTCAGGGCCATTTGTCATGTGGTCATTAACCTTTGCTCTTTAGAGGTAGGCACGTACACTCTTTGTTCAAGAACTCTAGGAAAAGACAAGGCAGGCTGAAGGCATCAGAGGGGAAGCATGTGGGGCAAATTTGAAATTAAAGACCAGCATAGCCAACTGGAAAGTGGAACATTCTCTGCAGGGGAAGCAAGAGGAGTTTAGGTGTTTTGGATACTTTCGGTTCAGTAGTGCTTATTATGGGTTGATCCTAACACAGTGGATTTGGGTAAGGTATGGTCCCACCTCGCAAGGACTTGATGGTTACAAAAGGAGAGACAGGCATGGTCAACTAGTACTGTGTGAGAAATATATGGAGGTCATAGAAATGGCTCAAAAATAAGCTGTTCTCTCTCTCAATAATTTATCGAATCAGTTTTTAGGATTTGGGTGAAGGTTATCATGTGACTGGTAAATTTCCTAGGACTATGATTTTTCCTTTGCCTTCCTCCTTTCCAGTCTACCTCTCAGCACTCCACTGCTCGTTAGAGCCCCTCGGCAGCCTGTGCTGGGCCGGAAAGGCTGCCAATGCTCCGTGAATCTCATTCATGTCCCTGGAGCATTTCTGAGGACAGCCTGGGTGCAGAGAGGAGGCGGCGCCAGAAGAATATTGAGGTCCTGCACTTAGTTGATCTCCTCTCTGCCCCTCCTCATCATCACGCTGACTGCACTGCAGTTTCTCTGAAACCGGAAGGGAAGTGGGAACAGGGCCAAGAACCACAGCTGCCAGAGAGACAGCACAAAGCCTGCATGGACTGTCGCCTCACCCGACCGAACAGGGGGCTCTGGGGCTGGGGTGCCTAGGTTACCTCGCTGTCGCCTCTGTGTGGAAAGGCACTTCCACAGATACCGTGTATTTCACGCACTAGATGTCTGAGCCCGATGGTGTTGTGTGCAAAGCCCCTCCACCCGTGCAGGTCCACATAGATGAGAGAAGCGCTCAGGGGAGTCGTGGCAGCAAGAAAGCGAGAGCTCTGAACCTATGGTCGGGCTGCACAAAAACCAGGTCCCAAGAGACCCACCCTGTCGTGGCTAAGAACTCACACATACGCACAAACGAAACAAAAGAATCGTCGTGCTAAAAGCCCTCTAGGGCACTGGAATTCAGCATTTTCCTTGCCAAAAGGTGGTTGAATTATTTGAAATCAGTTAGGTCTCTGAGGAAGTATAGCAGCCCAGTGTGTCTTGTTCTGAAACTCTTGATTAGTAAGTTCAGAGACGAAGGCATTCCTGCTCGTATGTTGCACTGCACACCTAACATACAGTGAATCCTGAGGAAGACCAGCCTTTCTTGCTCCAGTCCATCCAGATCCAGAGAGACAGACCGAAGCCCGGGGGTCTGGAAGGTCCGGCTCCTGCAGAGTCTCAGAAATTCCAGATTTGGAAGGATTAAGCTATCTGCTGTGGAAATGCTTAATTCCTTTCCTCTGGACATTTTTGGAAGGCTTTTTGCTTTTTCAATCTCCTGACTTCTTGTTTGTGACCAAGTTCAAATTCCAGAGAGGGAAGCAGCCAATATGTGTGATTATTTCCTCTTGCACCAAATGGAACTAGAAGAATGGACTTACTTCATTAGAAATAAATGTACCCTTTGGACCTTACACCCAAATGAGTAAGCATGGTCGGTCTGGCCCCTGTGCCGTTTGTGCGGTAATTAAACACAAAATGAGAAAAAGATGTCAGAGGCATGCATTCAGTCTTTTTTTAGACATAAAGCAGGAAAGAATAGAACAATCTTTAAGGAAAAAAAAAAGTTTCTTTTTGTCCTATACTCTGTCTTGGGCCAGGATGGCCGCCTGGTGACAAGGAAAGATTGTAGGGTTTGGAGTGACTGGGGTGTACATTCTGGCTTCACAGTTCAAGAGTTGTGTAATCCTAGACAAACCCCTTAACTTCTCTGAGCACCAGTTAAATGGGGGTGATAAAACCACCGCGCAGTAGTTACAAGGACTGAAAGAGGTGTCGTACATAGAGCTTTTAGCATAGTGCCCTGCACAGGACGGACTCTCGCTAAATAGGCATTATGGGCATCCTACTATTATTTTTTTTTAAACATTTTTTTTAATGTTTATTTATTTTTGGGAGACAGAGAGAGACAGAGCATGAGCCGGGGAGAGGTAGAGAGAGAGAGGGAGACACAAAATTGGAAAGGCTCCAGGCTTCTGAACTGTCAGCACAGAGCCCAATGTGGGGCTCAAATCGATGAGCCATGAGATCATGACCTGAGCCGAAGTCGGACGCTCAACCAACTGAGCCACCCAGGCGCCCCAGCATCACACTATTATTTTAAGACAATGCCACTAACCTAGAAACCCTGGGAATGCCAGAGTGAATTCAGTGCCATGCAGCTCAGTGCTCAGATGGCTGCTGTGCTAAAGACCCTTGCCTTGCGTTTTCCAGGACAGCTGGGGGCAGGGGGGCATATGTGTCATTGTCTTACCCTTGCTCTGCTCCTCAGGTGATCTCTTCAGTGTCCCGGACTTTCCGTTCCTGTATTTCTACAGGTTCCATGGAAGCTGCTGTGCCAGGTGAGCTTAACTCAGAAAGCCCCTAGCACTATTAATTTGTCTGTGTGTGTACTGCTTGCTGTCTTTGTCAAGTCCAGGGTCACTGCCAGTTACCCAAATGAGGGGCAGAAGAAAGTGGTGGCTGTGCAGGTCTGGAATCAGCTCCCTCGGCCATCATGACATCCTCGGTCATGAGCATCGGACATCCTCGGGTTGTCATGAGCATCACCAGGTGCTCAGGGCCAGTGTGGGTCTGGGGGTACCATGTCCTGCAGAAGTTCCTTGGCCAGGACAGTGGTTTTCAAGCTTGCAGAAGACCCAAGCTTCCCCCAGTGTTTTTCCCTCCACAAGCAATTTTTTTTAATGTTTATTTATTTATTTTGAGAGAGAGAGAGAGCAAGCACAGGAGAGGAGGGGCAGAGATAGAGGGAGACAGAGAATCCCAAGACATGGGCTTGAGCCCCACGAATTGAGATCATGACCCGAGCCAAAACCAAGAGTCAGATGTTTAACCAACTGAGCCCCTTCCACTAGCAATTCTTAAACAGAACTTGAGTGTATAAAATGATGAATCAGATTCCATTCAAGGGAAGACTTGCGTCCAGAATTGCACCCATTCAGCTACCTCCTTGGTCCCTGCCTTTTCCCTAGAGGACAATCTCTAAAAAGCCTTGACTGAATCCTAAGACCCTGAGAAACAGGTTATGGAAACCAGGGACTAGGAGACATCTAGACAGCAAAGTGACCCTTAATACTTGGCTGTGGGAGCTCCTCAGACCAATAGGGATGGATACATATAGTTGGAGTTCATACTCACCCTGTCCCCTCTTTCCTGCCATGATCCCCACTTCGCTTGACTTTATTGTGCTGAGAAATGGACAGTCTCATGGCGTGTGTTCTGATATGGTGGGAAGTCCAGTGTTGGGCTGAATTCCAGCCTTGCTGCTTGCTGATTGGTTTGCTCTTTGAGCAAGCCACCCTAGTTCCCCCAAGCATCAGTTTAGTTTCCTCATCTGTAAAATGGAAAGATAATACCACCAATGGGTGCTTGTGTATATTAAATAAGATGCGTAAACCCTAAGCATCGTGCCTGGCCCAGGAAATGATGGCCATTATTATTATCTGCTCAGCTTGACTATAAATAAAATGTCAACAGACCATGAGCAGTTGCCAAGCCAGACCACTTATTCCCATGCATAAAAGAGTGTGCCTTGTGAGGCAGTGATTCTTCAGAGTCAAAAAGCTGGTTGTGTGGCTCGCTACTATTTCTGACTTCGAGGTGTGTTAGGACAAAACGTACCAATGTTGTACAGTTTGGTTTTGCATCTGAGCCTCAGAATGATTCATTTATCATCTGCAGCTAAGTTTCAGGAAAACACTGACAGGAGTCATCTTCTCCATCCCTATTGATGTGGTCGGGACTTGTCGGCTGCCTGTTAGCTAGGACTGGGTGACATGAGTGTTAGTGCTGCTTTGGGGTCTGTGCACTTGTTCCCTTTGGGTCTGGTTATTTGGCAGGACCGGCAAACACAGTGCAGAGGGAAGGGCATCCGTTGTTTGGTTACTTGGAACAGAGCAGCACAGTTCGCAGCCCATTGCTGCTGGCCTTGTGGGGTGATGTTCTAGCTCCATTTCTGCCCCTTTTAATCTGCAACTTCCTTGTAACCAGCATGAAAAATCAGGGTTTTATACTTAAAAGATTTGGAAGTCTTTGTGTGAATTGATGTAACTCTATTACATTCTATCCCCCTGGCTTCAGGACAAAGCTTGACCTCTTTTAAAAATGTGTCAGTTTCCTCCATGTCATCACATGATTCCTCCATGACCGTATCTCAGACTAAGAGTTGTCACCTTCAGAGGCCCTGCGGGAGCCCAGAAGGAGTCACGGAGGCCCGAGGGGACAGTGGTAGCCATGACCCAGAGACACATGGACGGGGAGCCCGAGCTCTTTTACTTCTAGGATCCTCCTGTTGCTTTTCAGATCTGCCTCCACAGGGAGGGGTAGAGAGCTGAGTGTGGAAGGAGAAAGAGAGGGACCCATGAGTAATTTAGAAATGATGCACAGGCATACCAGGCAAGGGATGGGAAGGAATCATGGATGCTTTCCCACGTGTGTCGGGCACAGACCCGAGTGGCTCTGCTCTAGCAGAGTGTGTGCCGAGGGGCAAGGGGATGTGGCATCATGCCCTTCCTCTGGCTGGAAGTGGAGAGAAGGGAGCGTCAGAGGGGAGGGCGTGTGGGAGACAGCACAGGCACGTGCGAAGTTGTTACATCCCTGGAGTAGGGGGTGGACGCCACCAGGAGGAGCCCTGGAGCGTTAGCCGCCCCACTTTCCACTCCCAACCTCGCGGTGGCCGTGGGCACCTGCAGCATCTCTTCTGTCTCTTGAGTCAAGAACGTATCTTCATGGTGAAGTTTGAAGAACTGTGGAGGACCCTTATTAATTTTTTTTCATATTTTAGAGAGAGAGAGCAAATGTGCAAGTGGGGGAGAAGGGGAGAGGAGCAGAGGGAAAGAGGGAGAGAGAGAGAAAGTGAAAGCGAGAATCTTAAGCAGGCTCTATGCTCGGTGTGGAACCCAATGCGGGGGCTTGATACCATGGCCCTGGGATCGTGACCTGAACCAAAATCAAGACTCGGTCCCTCAACTGACTGAACCACCCAGGCACTCCATACTGTGGTGAACACAGAATAGGCTTCCTATTCTGAAAGTCTCTGATTTCCATAAGGTAGGATAAGGGCCACTATGCTTATTCCTGCTTTAACAACACAGAACCTGAGGCAAGAAAAAAAGGAGGAGCAGGGGGATTTGGTCAAGGTTATGAGGGTCAGTGGGCACAGCCCAGGTCACTCAATTTCCAGCCGGCTGCTTACCCACCTTGCCTTTCGGGTATGAATGACTGCCTGTCTTCATCCATAGCTGCCCAGCCTCTCGCGACTGCAGATTCAAATTTGAACAAACTTTGCAGGTTATCAGCGGCCAACAGGCTGAAATATACACAAGGGAACCTTCATCCCTGTCCTTGGTCCTGCCCCAGGGATGCGGCTGTAAACTAATCTAATCTAATGAAGCAAAGGCACACGTTTCTGTGAAATTTGGCCTTATCGGTGTTTAATTCAATCCAGCCTGATTCTAAGTAAACCCATCAAATATTTTTGGAATACCTACAATGACCAAGGCACCATGTTTGGCTCTGTTGGGGAAATCAGAGTAGCCCAAGGTTGGTCCCTGCCCTCTCAGAGCCCCTGGTCTATGTTGGAGCCACACACCAGTGCCTATAATAAAGGTGAGATGGCAGGGTGTCACCTGAGGGCCTAGAGCTACAGTTTGTATGACCTGCCTCTCTGGTTTGGGGTACCACTGCGGTCCTAGCTCTTGCTTTTCATTTTCCAATAAAAGTCACACTCAAGCGCCCACTTGATACAGTTACAGGAAGTCAGCCTTGATCGTGGAGTCTCTCATCTCCGATTGCCCTGCCTCTGAATGCAAGGAAGAGTGACCATTCTGTTTTGGAGTGCCCTTTGCTTTGTCCTTGGCCACACAGTGATGTTTTCAAAAATGGATTCCAGTGCGGGTGCCTGGGTGGCTCAGTTGGTTAAGCTTCCAACTTCAGCTGAGGTCATGATCTCACAGTTCATGGGATCGAGCCCTGCGTCAAGCTCTGTACTGACAGCTCAGAGCCTGGAGCCTACTTTGGATTCTGTGTCTCCCTCTCTCTCTCTGCCCCTCCCGCGCTCATGCTCTGTCTCTGTCTCTGTCTCTGTCTGTCTCTCTCAAAAATAAAACATTTTTAAAAAAATTTTTAAAAATGGATTCCAGCGTAGGCCACTAATTACGTGTCCACTGCTAGGCCAAGGTCTGGATGCTCTAGACCTCTAGGGCTCCCATGGGGTGTGGTCTTTCAGGTCACACAGATGGGCTTAGGCATCATTCCCAAAGCATAGCTTCTGTGTAGCTCAGCCTGGGTTGGGGGGGGGGGGGGGGCGGGCTTCTGCTACTGGAGCCAGTCTTCCCCTTTAGATTCTTACCTTGAACCCAGGAGCTGGTCCAGACCCTCTGTCCCCATATGGTGAGTTTCACTTTGGAAGTCTTTTTCTGGCCGTTTGTTCTGCTTGAAAAAAAAAATTGAAGCTCTACCTTGGCAAGCACCAAGCTCTAGAAATAGTATGGGAGGGAGCAGGAGGTATTGTCCTCCACATTTTTTTTTCTTTCATGATTTAGCCAGAGATTTCCCAAGTTTCTATACTCCTTCCCTTCCTGCCCCCCACCCAGTGAAACACTTTTATCATAGCTCCTCATAAAATTAGAGCTTCGTGGGTTTTTAAATATTTGATATTTTTATCCAGAGATCACTAGAAAGCACAGATGAGATAGAGGTTGTGTAATAATTAGAAACTAGCTGGTAAAATGTAACAGAAAATAGCTATTGGCTCAAGGAAGACAAGCCTCACTAACAAGAGAATATTTTCTCCTTCCAGTGGAATTTTAGGATTCCTTCTCGTGCTCAGCACAGTGAAGCTAAAAAGCCTTATGGCCCCAGGGCAGTGTGCAGCCTGGATTTTCTTTGCTAAGGTAAGAAAGAGGGAAGGAGTGGGAAAAATCAACCTCAGGAGCCTTCATGTCCAGTGTTCTTGGAGCATGTGTTTGATCTTCCTGAAACCATTCCCAGTCATTGGCCCTGAACTTGATAACTCACTCATTCCAGTAACGGTTTCTGAGGTCCTCTGACTATTTTTATCAGCATGACATAATCTTTATCACACTCCTGGAAAGGATAATCCCCTTACCTCCCCTAAGCCTTAATTTCCCCATCTCAGCGTGAAAGGTTTTGCCCCCAAAAATCTCTAAGTCTTCTCCAGTTCTACGAGACTGGATTCCTGGATGCACAGGGCAGGAATGGGGCTGTGACGGTATCCAGACTGCAAACAACAGACTATTCTAGGAATGTCCGTTGCATATCTGATGACCATGGTTGAGGCCTATGATAGAGAAGTGGGAAAATAAGAAACAGGAAAAGCAGCTGGGGGATGCTCAGTCGTGACTGAGATGCTTTGGGACTAACTTTTTCCTGTGGAGTATGTCATTCATTTCTCTCATGTCTGTGAAGGAGTCAAGTCGTAGGGCCCTAGGTGTTGCTTCTAAGAAATGAGATCTCTCTTTTTTTAAATTTTTAAATGTTTATTTATATTTGAGAGAGAGAGAGAGAGAGAAAGGGAGGGAGGGAGGGAGGGGCAGAGAGCTGGAAACAGAATCTGAAGCAGGCTCCAGGCTCTGAGTTGTGAGCACAGAGCCCAACTCGGGGCTCGAACTCATGAGCCTTGAGATCATGACCTGAGCCAAAGTCAGACACTTAACCAACTGAGCCACCCAGGTGCCCCTGACAAATGAGATTTTTTAACTTAATCTCGAAATCCTCATTTAAGCTTAGATCTTCACTCGTCTTTATGTTTGTTGATTTTTTCTGCCAGAAAACAAAAAGAAACATTTTCTTTGAAAACAACATTTCATGGTAATATTTTCACCTGTATAGTTCTTCCTTTTAACAGCATTAATAATTCTAATTATAGCAAAATGTGAAGAGTGACTGAGATACTGACTTCTTGCATGACAGAATGAAGAGGTTGACAGATCCTCCTCACAAAAAGTAACTGGAAAGCTGGGAAAAGATTGTCAAAAATATCCATTTCAGCTCTCTAAAAATTGACCAAAGGCATGCAACAAACTGGGAAGCAAGCATTTGTTCACGAAAACTGCTAAACTTTGGGTAGGAATAGCGTGAGCCTGTGGCGTTCGTACCTCAGGTTGCTCCCATTCCCTCCTCCCCAGCTCTGTCAGTGTGTTATTTCAACCAGAGCAGGGTAGGCTGTGAAAACCAGCAGCCTTGCTGCCACTTCCAGAATATTCTATTTGGAGTATTTTTAGCTAAAGTGGCCATGTCAGTGGTAAATCAGTAAGAAGAGCTAGTATCTCCACTATCTTGAGTTTACAGTCCTCTTTGGGGCAAGCAATGGACCAGTGGTCTAGCTGGGGACTAGTAGGTAGTTCGGGGAGGTGAGACAGCCATCAGGGGCTTGACAGCTCTTCGTGTGTCCCAGGTTGACCGGAGTCTGTGTGCACGAGTAGCAGAGATGGAGTGTGCCCAAAACACCCACATGTCCCTGGCCAGCAGAGCCTGCGTGCACGCACAGAGGAGATGGGAGAGAGCCAGTAGAAAGTAAAAGCTGGGGCAGACATGAAAAACTTCAGCCTGAAGTTTGAATGTACTCCCCAGCCCACACACAGTCAGAAGGAGAGAGAAGACTTTCTGGCTGAAGGTGTTTGAGCAAAACCTCTGACTAGTCTTTGCTAGAACACTAAGCTATGCAGACATGTGGATGGCTTCTAGAAAGCCAGAAAAAGCTTAAAAATAAAAACAAGAAAAGAAATTAAGGACATCAGCAGCTGTACCGTATATGGGAGACTGATTTCATTGACTTAGTCCAGGCAAATTACTATATAAGCAAAACAACAATGCTCTGGGGAAAAGTCAGAATCCAAAGTTGCTACCGTATGTTATCTGAAATGTCCAATATTTAACAAAAAATTTAGGGGCATTCAAAGAAACAAGAAAGCGTGATCCATACACAGGAAAAAAGCAGTTAATGGGAACTGTGTCTGAGTGTCTGTCCTCAGATATAGGACTTAGCAGAAAAAGACTGCAAAGCAGCTATTTAAATATGCTTAGAGATCTAAAGGAAACCATATTTAAAGAATTGAAAGAGGGGCGCCTGGGTGGCGCAGTCGGTTAAGCGTCCGGCTTCAGCCAGGTCACGATCTCGCGGTCCGTGAGTTCGAGCCCCGCGTCAGGCTCTGGGCTGATGGCTCAGAGCCTGGAGCCTGTTTCTGATTCTGTGTCTCCCTCTCTCTCTGCCCCTCCCCCGTTCATGCTCTGTCTCTCTCTGTCCCAAAAATAAATAAAAACGTTGAAAAAAAAAATTAAAAAAAAAATTAAAAAAAAAATAAAGAGAGATGATTAAAAAAAAAAGAGAACCAGGTGGAAATTCTGGAGTTGAGAAGTATAATAAATGAAATGAACAATCCTCTAGAGGTACTCAATAACAGACTTGAAGGGCAGAAGGAAAACTAAGTGAACTGAAAGGTGGAGCGAAAGAAATTGTTCAATCTAAAGAACAAAGATTGTTTAATAATTGAAGAAATATGGACAGAGGCTCAGAAACCTGTGGGACAACATCAAGCATATTAACATATATAAGAGTTCCAGAAGAAAAGTAAGAGTATAGAAGGTACAGATGACTTGAACAATACTGTCAACCAACTTGTCATAACTGACATATGACACTCTATCCATTGACTGCAGAAAACACATTCTTTTCAAACATACATGGAACATTCTTCAGGATAAGTGTTATACTGTGTCACAAAACAAGTCTTAGTAAATTTGAAAAGATCAAAATCATTTAACATATGTTCTCTGGCCACAGCAGAGCTAAATTAGAAATGTACAACAGGGCACCTGGGTGGCTCAGTTTGTTGAGCATCTGACTCTTGATTTTGGCTCCGGTCATGAACCTGGTGTTGTGGGATCCAGCCCTGCTTCAGGCTCTGTGCTGAGCATGAAGCTTGCTTAAGATTCTCTCTCTCTCTCTCTCTGTCTCTCTTTCTCCCTTTCCGCCCTCTCCCCAACTCACACTTTCTCTTTCTCTCTCAAATTAAAAAAAAAAAGAAAAAAAAATAAATTTACAACAGAAAAAAAAAATCTAGAAAAAAACATTTATTTGGAAATTAAATAACATACTTCAAAATAGCCCATGAGGCAAAGAATCACACGGGAGAATTATTTATTTTCTAGCTAGACTAACTAAGAAAATAAGAAAGAAGATACAACTTATCAAAATTAGAAATGAAATCAGGGACATTACCACTGATGCTATATAAACTAAAAGGATTATATATTATGAATAACTTTATTCATATTATACCAGCAAAGTAGACAATTTAGAGGAAATGGACAAATTCCCAGAAACATACAAACCAGGAAAATTGACTCAAGAATAAATAGAAAATCTGAATAAACTCATAACAAGTAAATTATGTAAGTAGTGATTAAACATCTTTACCCAAAGAAAAGCTAAGGTCCAATGGGCTTTACTGATGAATTCTATCAAATATTTTTAAATGAAATATTTTTTTCTTTACAAGTTCTCTTAGAGAGCAGAGGGAAGAGAATAACTCCCAATTTATTCTATGAGTTGCTCTGATACTAAAGCCGGACTAAGTAAAATCATAAGAAAATTATAGACCAATATTCTCCATGAATACAGATCTTTAACACAACAGTAGCAAACCGAATCTGGCAACATAGAAAAAGAATTTTATACCATAATCAAGTGAGATTTATCAGCAATGCAAAGTTGGTTTAACAAATGGAAAGTACTATAATACATTATATTTATAGAATAAAGAATAAAAAAGGAGCCGTGTCAGTAGGTGCAGAAAAATGATTTGACAAAAACCCAACATCCATTCATGATTAAAAAAGACTCTTGGGGCACCTGGGTGGCTCAGTCGGTTGAGCTCTGACTTCAACTCAGGTCAGGATCTTGCAGTCCATGAGTTCGAGCCCCGCATCAGGGTCTGTGCTGACAGCTCAGAGCCCAGAGCCTGTTTCAGATTCTGTGTCTCCCTCTCTCTGCCCCTTCCCCACTCATGCTGTGTCTCTCTCTGTCTTTTAAAATGAATAAACGTTAAAAAAAATTTTTTTTAAAAAGACTCTCAACAAACTAGTAATAGAAGGGAATCTTCTCAACCTGATAAAAAGCACATGTGAAAAACCTATAGTTAACATGCTTAATGGTGAAAGACTGAATACTTTCTCCCTAAGATTGGGAACAGTACAAGAATGTTTGTGCCTCACCACTTCTATCAGGCAGTGCAATAAGACCAAAAAAAAAAAAAAAAAAAAAAAAAAAAAAAAAAAAAAAAAAAAAAAAAAAAAAAAAAGCATCCAAATTAGAAAGGAAAACATTAAATAGTCTATATTCACAGATGACATTTATCCTACATGTAGAAAATCCTAAGAAATCTATAAAAACATTAATTGAACTAATAAACGATTTATCAAGGTCTCAGATACAAGATCAATGTACAAAAATCATTCATAGTTTTATGTATTAATAATGAACAGTTATGTTCATAAAAATGAAATTAAGAAAATAATTTCATTCATAATAGCATTAAAAATATACTTAGGAACTTAAAGCAGTTCAAGACTGAAAACTGTAAAGTCTCAGAGAAATCTAAGATCTCAACAAATGGAAAGACTCAATGTTAAGATGGAAATTCTTCCTAAGTTGATCAATAGATATAATGTAATCCCTGTCAAAATCCCAGCAAACACTTTGTACAAATCCACAGACCGATCCTGAAGTTTATTTGGAAATTCAATAGCCAAAACAATTTAGAAGAAGAAAAACAGGGGCACCTGGGTGGCTCAGTCAGTTGGGCATTCAACTCTTGATTTCAGCTCTGATCATGATCTCACGGTTTGGTTCGTGAGTTCAAGCCCTAGGTGG